TATGATTCCACCAGAAATGAGATTTTTCCAGTTGTTTAAAAACCAGCGATGTCTTAATGTATATGATTCCACCAGTGATCAAAGCTCTAATCGTTTAAAAATCAACGCTGTCTTAAAGTATGGGATTCCACCAGAAATGAAATCTCTCCAGTTCTTTAAAAACCAACAATGTATTGATGTATATGATTCCACCAATAATGAAAGTTCCCCAATTGCCTAAAAACCAGTGCAGGGTTGGAATGTGTGATTCCATAGGTGGTGGCAGTTCTCTAACGTTTTATGTACAAAATCAGCTTTTGTGAATGAGGTTCCACCAGTGATAGAAATCTCTGGCGGTTTCAGAAAAAAAAAGAAGAGATGTTTGAATGGATCCAATTCCGCTAGTGATGAAACTGTTGCCTTAGCGGTTGCGTCTCCACAAGTAATAAAAGTCCTCAAATAATATTAGAACCAAATAAGCCACGGTAGATGCTATTAAATCAGAACTAGAAGATGTCGAATGGTTTAAATACCAAAGATTTCACATATTTTTGGTAAAAAAGCCTTCGTCTCGACTTTGTTGCTCAGATGTTAACATGAAGCGTTATTATGAACCATGTTTACTAATCCCCAGAAACCTTACTGCTTGAAGCAAGCTTTTAAATCTCCAACACATCTCTTCTTGAAGGCATCTTTCATAGGAATATCTCTTAACTTTCAAAGACCTCACAGCATGAAGTGGTATTATTGTTGATCTACTAATCTGTAGCATCAAAAATCATAAAGCTATAAGCGGTCATCATGAACTAATTTTCTGAGAGCATTAGAACACAGCTGGTATATAAATTTAGAAAAGAAGTATAAACATAAAATGTGGACAAGAAGTAATACAAGTGATCTGTCTCCAATCATTTTTGAAATGGTTTCCTAAATCATGGCTTTCATAAAAGTTAGTTAGAAATGTTATAATATTTTTCTCCACAGAGAGAAAAAAAGTTTTCTTTACGTCCAGTGAAGACGTTTAACCAGGTATAGAAAATAGTAGGTTTATGTAAGATGTGTTCAGTTCTACAAATAACATATACACACTCTGATTGGTGTAAATAATGTTAAGCTAACAAATCGCAGTGGTTTGCTATGTATTGCTAGTTCCGTTGGATGTTTAAACATACAAAGAACATATACGTACTCTGCTTGGTGTAAAGAATGTTTAGCTAACAAATGGCAGTGATTTGTTATGTATTGTTAGTTCTGTTGGATGTTTAACCATATAGAGAACATACACATTCTGCTTGGTGTAAAGAATGTTTAGCTAAAATAAAAACAGTATTTTTTGTACTGCTAGTTCTACACATTAAAAAACATAAAATGTTTTCGCCAACTGCTAGCTCTAGAGCATGCTTAACTACACAGAAAAATACACAAGTTGTCTTTGCACGCTCCTATATCTAAACAATGTTTAACTGCCCATAAGAAATTAGTAAGCTACTCTACACGTGTACCTACCTATAGAACATGCTGAACTTTTTGGAGAAAGGCGAACTTTATTCACACATACTACTAGATCTATGGGATGTTTAATTAGATATAGAGTAAGTATAGCCTTAACTAATAAACGTACCCTTTTATTACTTTATTACAATACTAAATATTTGGAAATATTCCCAAAAGTTATATTTGTTTGTAAGATTTCACTCTTAATGACTTTAAAGCTGTGCTACTATAAATAGTGGCATTTTTCTGACAAAACTATTTCTTTCTTCTTACTGGATTGTTTAGCCATATCAACTTGGAAGCTGACTTTCATGGGCTTTTGGTACGATTTTCCCATGGGAATAATGAGTGTTCATTTGGTGACTTTGCTTTTTATTACTTGCGTCAGTTTCCTTGAGAAGTTCACTTTTTTGGTCTCTAGACTTTTGTTCAGCATCAGAGAGAGCGAATCCATTTTTCAGAGTTGACGTTAAGGGATGTTTAAATAAAGTACCAGTCGTCGTTACCGTTTTTAGTGTGCCATCAATTTGTGTTTCTATTAATAAACATAAAAATATTTATGTTTCCTGTGAACTTGGATGCTGTACCTTTACTACGATACAACTTAGACCACCACGTTTAATTCTCTAAATATTCAGCTGTCTTGTTATTGCAAAGATAACTTACCAGTGTGCATTTCTCGAAACAAGTTTAACACGTAATAAACACATTCTACGTATTGCAAGGAACTGCTTTATTCAATATGTCATGTCTATAGATATATTTAACGAAATAAGTCAAGTTCAACGACATGAAACAAAACAAAAATCAAATTTTTATCTTCTCTGTGAAAACAACAACAACAACTTAAATCACAGAACCCATCTTTCAAAAATTCAACAAGATATAGATTTATTCTTTATATTACATCATTAGTTCGCAGCATTCACTTGAATGAACATTTTGCTCTTTGATCTTTAACATGTTATGCATAGCATGAGTGGTTTTATATCTTTACACGAGAAACTCTTTATAATATAAGCAGTTCAGACTGGGAACTTTCAAGATATTACGTCAGTCAGACATAAAATTTGCCGTTGTCGTTAAATTACAGAAACGAATAATTTGCTCAGAGCAATTATATACTTCCGTTCTGTCGTTACATACGATCAACATTAATTTGATCATTTTTTTACTTAGAATGTTTTTATTCTTTTTTTTAACCTTATGATTAAACGTAATGTCCTGTTATTAGAATCATGCGCAGAAACTGACTATACAAAATATTATTGAAAAACAGCTCATCAGTTGTGAGTTTTAAAAAGCGTTTAGCAGCATATTAAGATTTTAGACAGAATATTCTAGCCAAATATTAAAACTATTGCATCTGATCTTGTATCTGATCAAAGTGGCAGTTTTCTGCAGTTATTTATACCTACGTCCAACTTCTTTACCACAAAATATTTTGGTTTTCATTTGTGCTTTTTTGGTGGCCTGTTTCGCGAGATAAAGTTATTCTAAAATTTTTCAGATTTTTGTAGTTTAAATTTAAACAAGTAAAACACGTTCTTGTAATGGTTATGGATGAGAGTTCTAGAGCATTTCTAATAAAAATATCTACGATGTTATTAAGATTAAAGTTAGTAGAAAAATGCTAAGATAATATTCATTGAAAATAAAAACGAACAATGGACAAGCATTGAGTTAAGAGTTGTTGTTTTTTTTATCGATTTTAGGTTATAGCCTTTAACAACTTATACGGGTATACATTTGATGTCGGCTTATAAATACTAAGATCCATAAAATAAGGTTTTTAGAAGACATACCCGCCTTTCTTCTTCATGAAGAGACCTAAACTTTATTTATATATACGGTTCATGTCAATTTATGGTTAGAAAGCACCATACTAAAATGTTTTCCAAAGATAAACACAACTTTTTCAATAAGAAAGAGGATTAGTTTTCTAGAGGCCACAGCATCGTTTTGATTATGATATATCTACTTGGTTGAGGATATGATTTTGTTAGTATAATGAAATTGACTTTAACTTCACTTTGATATTTTCGTCCCGATTGTTTAACACCACATAAAAAAAAACAGGACATTTTCAGCATAACGGCTGAGCATCCAGTTAAGAGACTCTTGTTTTCATGTACAGCCGTCACTAATTTTGAACTATTGACAATGAGGAGGGAAGCCAGTTAGTCACTAATTTTGAACTATTGACCATGAGGAGGAAAGCCAATTAGTTGCACTCGCTATCACAGAGACCTTGCCAGTTCCTGGAACTGAACAACGAGAAAGTTAATTTGTTAGCATATGAAATATGAAAATTATTGTAAAATATATTATAATCCTAAGTTTTCAACATTGCGAAATATTTTACTCTCTAGTTTTCTTCGTCTTCACCACTCTAAGTCAAGTTATGGCATTGGTGTGAAATCTGGTTTTTCTGGTATATTCTTTGCTCAATGGTTTTATCCTAACATTCATAAAGCCTGTTTTGCAGAATCTAAACCGAGAAGGATTTATATTTAAAATGAATTTACGAGCTTATTTTGTCAGCTTATTTATATTATTGAGCTTGAAAATAATACATTGATCCAAGATATTTATTAAAAAAACACTGTGACAATTTACAATAAGTTCATTTAAAGCCATATGTGCTATTTAAGATTTAGATAGAAAACAGTGAAACAGCTTATCACATTTATCTGTGTTGTTCGAATATGAAAGTACATAAAACCTTCAATGAAACTATCATGTAATGAAGTAAATACATCTAATTTGTCAGGTTCTCAAATCGAAATAATACTAAGCAGATATTGTTTCGTGTAATGATTTTAAGGCGTTGATGTTTAAGTCGTCCCGCAATTTTTATTATCTCAAGGAGTTAAGAAATGTTTATAAGTTTAAAAGGGTTTTCAGGGTTTTAATTGCCGCAATGTTTATAAGTTTAAAAGAGTTTTAATTGCCGCAATGTTTATAAGTTTAAAAGGGTTTTCAGGGTTTTAATTGCCGCAAAGTTTATAAGTTTAAAAGGGTTTTAACTGCCGCAATGTTTATAAATTTAAAAGGGTTTTCAGGGTTTTAATTGCCGCTCTTTCATAAATAATACTCAGTAACTTGATGAGTGTTCGACTGCCAACTAGAAACGACCTGTTAAAAACTTCTACCTTAACAGGTAAAGTCTATTTCTGATAAAGTAACTTTATAGAGAGAAAAAAATCACCAACGAATAGGTTCGAAATAAAGCAACTGGTACCGTATACTGAATAGTGAAACATTAATTCATTATTATTTTTAGTGTAAATCATCACTGCAATAACGCATGCTGAAAATCTACTATACCAAATTTACGCGTTGCAACTTGTATAATATACCGTTTTCAATAAATAATATACTTAATTAACGAACCATTCTTCTGTGGTCTTTCAATGCCATATTGTTTTAGTGACATTTTCTAGTTTTTAGTTTCCATTGTGCTGCTTTCTGATTGACTATGATTAAAACTGGGAGATTTAGTGATTGAAAACACGTTATCTGAGTCACTCTAAAACCAGCTGCTGTTTATTGATATAAAGTTCCTTCATTGTGCAATACATTCGTGGTAGTTGTGTTTTACAATACCGAGTTTGGAGACGTAGCAGATATTCCGATTCGAATGTGTCGCTTGAAGTATTGTTAGTGATAAAATAAAATACACTTTTTGCTACGTTTAGAAATAATAAAAACAGTTTCTGTGGGCAATTCCTGCAGTTTTGTCGATAGATAAACTGCCATTCTACAGTGTTCAGTCTGGAGACCAGGTTCTACTGCTTGAAGTATTCCCGAAGATATGCTAAGGGATGTTCTACTACAGGTACCCAACTTCGTCTTCCACTTCGACTAACGAGGAAAGAATTTTCTTCGGGGCCCGTAGGTTGAAAACAGCATTTTGGACTACAGAACATTGAGCCATTAGCACAGCGACACTCCAGACACGAATTGCTAGCCACACCTATAGTTTCACCCCGTCGATAAGGAACGCTCAAAATAACACAATCTGGAGCTGTTGGAAAATAATATGAATATATAGAAGATATCAAACAAGAGTTTAACAAAAAATATCACAAATTACTGCTTAGGAACTTTTTCATTATCAGCTATTTACATTAATAATTTAAACTCTAAATTCAGCGATACACAATTAATTTTCTCCAATTTCCATTCATCTTCAGTCATGGAAGTTTTGTTATTAATTTTACCTTGTGCGTAATGCTATTCATTGTAAGGAACAAATTCACTGTTTATTCTTAAATCATTATTATTGAAATTATCCCTTATGTGGTTAAAACAGTTCTTCTAACTGTGTGTCTCTATTTTTAATATTTATTATATATTTCCTTACTTCACACACGTTTGTTTGATCATTATTTGTATCACTAAATGCTCATCTTCAGAGATTTCCTAAAAGGACAATTTAATTACATTGTTAGATAACAGAATGCTTTTTTACTTTTGTGATGCGGGTTGACTTTATGGTAGATCTCTTTATTTTCGGAGCTGGTGAGTTCAAGTTCGAATCCCTGCGATACTACAAAATTTTCCCAAACTTTAAGATGTGAGGGCATTATAAGAGTAACAGTCAATCCCTCTGCTGACAGCTGCCTTGACTTCGATAAGTAGTTCAAAATTAGGGGCAAGTGTAGGTAGCCTTAGTGGCTTTGCCATAAATACAAATTATATTATTGCCTTATTTTGATGAGATAATAACAGAAGTTTCAACATAATCATCAAACTACAGTTTCTTTTGATCTTTAGTTTTAATCTTGGTCTATTTACTTATTGCTAAAGTTCCTGATTTAATTTTTTCTTTTTAAGATTTTGAAACGAAAAAATGATATTGATTAAAATATTAATTAATTAATTAATTATTACTTATCTTGTCATTATAGTAATTTCATTTCTGAACGTGGGTTTCCACTCAATCTTTAGGCTTAATGGATGTTTATAATACACATTTGGAAAAGTATAAATATATATATATGCAAAGGAATTGAGATTTACAGCATTCTAACTAAATCTTTATTTTTCTTCAGCAATTTTATTTAGATATAAAATAGTTCAGCCACAGTTAAACTAAATAGTACACTGCTATATAAATACAGTTGCTATACGTTGAATTTCATACCCACGTCATGTCTCCCTTAAGTACTTATCTTGCTTAGTCGTAAAGTTCGTTTTGCATGTGCTGAGAATAGGATTACCTTCTAAATACTTGAACTTGAATTAGCTAAGTTTCCGGGTAAAAGATGTACTGAAAAAGGGGGAGGGGTGGCACGAAAAGGTTGCCTGTACTTTTGTCTTTTATTTTCAGGAGTTATTGGTATTGTGGAGTGTTTCAAGCTCCCTTTCAGCTTCTGTGCTTTAGAAAGGTCAGTCGTGTTAATCAAAAATAATTAAAACTGTAATTCAAATAAAACACCTTAAAGCCCCTAGAGTTTAATGCAATACTACACAATGTCCTTATTTTGATTTTGCTAATTTAGTTACTGTGTGTTTTTTAGAAGGCAACCAAATCATTCATCCGATTATCAGTATAACACAGAAGCCAAATGAGTGTGCCAAGCACATGCTTCTACATCACCAATTATTCAAGACTTCTGCTTAACGCATACTTCTACACGGTTACATAATCAAGATTTGTGCCTATACATACTTCTAGGTGGTCGCATAATAAAGACCTGTGCCTAACATCTACTTATACACAACCAAATAGTCAAGGGCCTGTGCCTAACATCTATTTATACATGGTTAAATAATCAAGAAGTGTGCTTCTATATGATGATATGATCAAGACACGTCCCTTACCCGTACGTCTATATGTTACATAATTAAGTCCTGTCCCTAGTGCATATTTCTATGTGCATAAGCCAGACTTAGCATCCATTTATTCACGTTTTCTTTGTCAGTAATCTTTTCGAGTACTAATGTAATTATATATTTTGTATTACGGAGACTTAGTCGCTTTGGTGTTTGCTTACTCATTAGTTTAAAACTTCAGTTTATCGGTAAGGCTTCATTTAGCGGAGACTCTTGGATTAGAGGAATACACAACAAAAGACTTATCTTTCGGTGTTGTTACTAGGTTTTGATTAGTGTATAGTGAACTTGTCCAGTGGTGTCTTAATATTTGGTAAAACCACCAAAAATAACGTCAGTGTTGGGTACTAGAATCTACATTAATTGCATTAAGGGCAGCTCACTAATGAGACTTTAGCAGCATGATACAAACAGTCATAATCCACTGTATGATGTCAAGTGTCCCCCTGCACTGTACCAAGCAGTGTAAGGACTGAGTAAGGAGGGTTTGGGGCAGGAAGCATAGATCCGGAAGTTTAACAGGGACTTAAAAAGCACTGAGAGGAGCAGTAGCCTCTAGAATGGACGAGCTATTCATGCTTAATTACTCACATGAGCTACACCAGTTCCATGACGTGGCTTAGATGACATCGATTTAGGTCTCATAATCGGACAGAAGGTTAAATTAGTGGATGCCATTCAATGACACGAAGTAGTATAGTCTTTAAACGCCTCAAGGGTTGAGTAAAAGAAAATTTGGAACTTTTTTAACTTTTTTTTTAAAAAAAGTTCATGCAGTTACTGCTTGTAATATGTGCACTACAACCATAATACTTAGAGCCTGTTGCTACATTTAGGTAGATCAACGCAGGAGTTATAAAACAATTGATGTTACAGTATAAAACAAACAATGGCTTAAAGGCAGGAAGGTGATAATAACCACCCTTTGTAGTAACTGACTAACCATAAGGTGGTAGTGGAAACACTGAGATCACTATTGTTCCTATTAAATATACTGCTAAATGACAAGAGAGATTCGATTTATGTGTCTGTGCATTTCAAGTATACAACGGTTGAGTACATTATGTTAAAACGATTTTTAATACACTAATTAGCAAGTCACGTGACAACTACACCCAATAAAACCACAGTGCAATGGAATGTATCAGAACTATACTTTGACATATTTTCGTGTTTCTTATGTAGTTTGATGCTAACAAGAATGTATCGCTTTGGGAAAGGATACGTAACACCCCCTTCTGATGCAAAATTTTAATATATTAAGACCATAAAGATGATTTCAAATCAGGGATTTAGAGTTTCCAAAATAGGAATACCCTTTGTCTTTAATGTCATTAGAAAACAAAGTGATTTAGATCAATTTTGGGCAACAGGGTCATCCATAAAGAAACTGCAAGTCGTGCCCCCGCCATGGCAAGCAATAGGTGAGGATCCACGAACACAAAATTCAGTGTCAAAAAACCATCCACGTGCCCCAGGCAACAGTATACTACATAACAAATAAAATTTCCAGCTGAGAAAGCAACACTACTCACGTGTGCACAAGCTGCTCCCACAATATATCCGTTCAACCATCTCAAACCTCAAGCAGCTGGAGAATGAAAGGGTATTCATGCTATTCTATATGAAGACATACAAGCTAAGTCACTGGATGAAGCATCTATGGATTTCTGTGTGCGTTAGGAATGTTGAAGTAGAAGCTGGGAAGCCATCGTCCTCATAAACCAGATCAGCGGTTCCTAAACTTTTTTCAGTGTCCGCCCCTGTTCAAAAATTTATTTCAATTGGCTCTTTAAGCTTTACTTGCTACCTATATGATTTTTCCGCCAAATCTGTGCATAACCAGAGTCTTCCGTGACCCCATGTTTGGTAACCACTGCACTAAATGGATTGTGGAAAGCATGCAAGTAAAAGTATTGTACTTTTGACATGACAGCCTTACAATGGACCTTTTAGCAACAGTAACTATACTATATGGCTACTGCAAGATGAAACAGCCATCAGATAGTGCATGATCAGGCGTGACAACATGGACTGTAATGGCGTAATGAGACTACAAAATCGTTTTGGTATAATGTATTCAACCTCTGTATGTAAGGCATAGGATGTGTTAGGATAACTTTCAAAGACAGGAAGTACTGATATATGCATCCTCTCTTACCATTTTGTTCCTCTTCTGTTTTATACTTTTGCCCATCTCGTTTTAATGTATATTTCATAGGAAAAGTCTGATTGTGATCAGGAATAGCTGTGGAGAAGCAATAACAAATAATGTAAGACCCATCAATAACCATGAAATGATATGCATAAATGAAAAAAATTTATATATATATATATATATAATTAATGGTAATGTCACGTAGAAAATGAAGCAAAAAAGAAAATAGAAACAACGCAGGTACAAAACATACAAGTCACCACCTGGGCACACACCATAAGGTGGGTAGTTATGCAACGTGCCCTGGTATTTAAGGTACTGGCGGAAGTAAGACCCAAATTGCGTTGGGGGTACACCGTCTATCCAGTTTAACCTCAGTTTCGCAGGTCACACATTATTAATAATGATAATAAGAGCAGATGTGGGTGCTCTACCCCACAACAACTTACATCTTCACCACTTTCGCTGTGTGCAGCCAGATATGGGAAGGTGGCTGCTCAAAAAAAAAAAAACAAGAAGAAAGAAATAATTGGAATACATACATCAATAGGGGAGATAGTAAAACTGTCCTTGAAGTTGGCATTCCAGGCCTCATAATGATGTTTGGACATAAATACCGCGATGTTAAGGTATTACTATACAAGTCAAACATAAACTGTTATACATACATCAATAGGGGAGACAGTAAAACTGTCCTTGAAGTTGGCATTCCAGGCCTCATAATGATGTTTGGACATAAATACCCTTGTATAGTAATACCTTAACATCGCGGTATTTATGTCCAAACATCATTATGAGGCCTGGAATGCCAACTTCAAGGACAGTTTTACTGTCTCCCCCATTGATGTATGTATAACAGTTTATGTTTGGCTTGTATAGTAATACCTTAACATCGTCCCAACCTAAATTGTTAGTATACCTCCCATCCTCCATTCATCCATGCTACTGTCAAGATTTTCAATGGTTCTATAATAATTACATAGTAGCAGGTCTTATATAGAGAAAGTGACACAACCTACATTAATACACCTATACAAAATACAGTCCAAATAAGTAATTCCAGTAATTTCCACTACAAAAAAAAATAGAAATTATTACTTATTATGTATATTATGAATTCGTTTATACTACTATTTTTAAATTTACTTACATATTTTGTATATTTATTATAGAATAATTTAAAACATTTAATGTTATCTTATTAATTCTTTTACAAATCAATTTACTCACTAATATATTAACGTTGAAAATAAGGAACTATTCATTGCTACAAATTCTACAATACCTGAGTAGATGTGAATGTATGATGCTCTGTATTGCATTATTTGGTACATTACTGTTTGGCGAGAGAATTCCAAAAATTTGACATGTAAAATCATTTATTTCATCATAAATATTAATATTACAATAATTATTAGTTATCTTAATATCTAAATCTAAATAATGTACTTATGATACCTGCGAAACTGAGGTTAAATTGGATAGACTGTGTACCCCAACGCAATTTGAGTCTTACTTCCACCAATACCTCAAAAACCAGGGCATATTGCATAACTACCCACCTTATGGTGTGTGCCCATGTGCTACATGTATGTTTTGTAGCTGCTTTGTTTCTTTTTTTTTCTTTCGTTTTCTACGTAATATTACGACATTTTCATCCAAGGTTTGTATATGCTGTGTTAAATTCATACTATTCTTCCTTATAATGTAGTCCTTCCTTTTTCTTTATTTTTCAATTATACAATTATTTATATATATATATATATATATAAAGAGAGAGAGTTTGTTATTAAGAACAATGTTACACAATGGGCTATTTATGCTTTACCCATCGCGAGTATCGAATCGCAAATTTTAGTGTGGTAAACCATGAGACTTGCCGCAGAATCACCAGGGGGCTACAGAGGGAGAGATTATTTCCTCTATTACATTAGTATAATGAACTGATGAAATTACACGTGATATCGCCACATGTGTTATAATCCATTTGGAAGAGTCAAAAATTATAAGTTGGTGACAATAATAACATGGACTATCTCCAGAAAATTTTCACTTGAGCTTGATTACTACGTACTTTGTAAGTTTTTATGGTAAAATCTTGATTAAACTGTTTTTAATAACTAGTGTAAATTTCTGAAACTTGAAATTCGTAACGAAAACTACAGAATCCCCACCCTAACTACCTTCTACAAGATCAGTGTCAAAACACAATAATGTTCGTTTTTGTTTTGTTGTTTTTGTTAATGTTTTGTGATCATTTCAGTTGCATCTGCTCAGAATTGAACCCATGACATCTCACACGTTAGTCGGGTGGTCTACCAACTGATCTAAAGGGTTATCCCACTACCAGTAAGACACTTAAATTACCACATTCCTTCCCTCTCACACAAGATCCATCCTCAGGTATTATCTCATGATCGTAGGCGTTAATTGAATTTTTTCTTCGGCTAGGTATCGAGTTCAAGTCCTCCCATATGCTAGGCGAGTGCATGACCTAAAGGGTTAAATCACTAACCCTAGCTAGTAAGGCACTTTTTTTTTTTACGACTCAAACTATCAAAGTTTGCATGAACATTAATTAGAAATCATAAATACAAAAGCGCGAAATAGATTCATTTGTCTGTTATTATTTCTGTCATTACTTTGTTGTTGTTGTTGCTACAAAAAGAAAATTTTCTTACGGCACAAATACAATGACGGATTGCACACGCCATCATAATTCAATTCAATGCATCCGACAGGAGAAGGAGGACATTTTTGCCAATAGCAGTCAATATATCCTCGAACACAGGAACAATAATGACAGGGATGAGAACGTGGAATAGAATGACCTGATTCGTATCGATTACCCTCGAGGTAGCATGCATGATCTGAAAGAACGATTAAACAATAACGCTTCTAGATCTTAGATCCAAAGGGTATTTCAAAACAATAAAGTTTACCTGAAAAAGTACACAAGAAAACATTTTTGCTCTCTGTGATTAGTTAGGTCTCGGGGCTAATAGTTTGAAATAACAGGAAAAACAAGATAACAACCTAAAATTCTCAATTAATGACACTAGTAAAAACTTTTTTCTCACACTGATAATTATGAAGGTAAAGTTTTCATTAAGATGTTTTGTTGTGTTTTTAAGACCATTACAAATATAGAAAGAAAAAAAAGGCTACCAAAATAAATGTATGCAACAAGTACCGATGTTCGATGCCATGTTATATGGTAGTGAAGTCTGCTGATCCATTTTTATCCCCAGTGGAACTGAAATGAAATGTTTAATGGTTAAGAAATATTTCAATCTCGCTATAAGTCAAACGTAACAAGATAGTTGTACATTAAACACGTTAGAATTGCTGAATTAAATCGACAAACTTTTCAAAGTAAGATCTTCATCCTCTTATTTTGATTAAAACATCGAAAAAATTCAATTTATTAGCACTATCGGTTTACAAGTCCTGAAGTGTTAAATCATAAATGATAAACTAAGAACTTAAGGTGAGGTTGTGGTGATCGAATACAAATCGTTGATATGGTTAATTAAATTGTATGATTACCTAACCCTAATCCCTAATTAGTGACTAATTTATTCTTATCATTAAATAGTAATCCTTCTCAGAGTCACCTGAAAAAAGCCGCGAAGTAGCAACCGAAAAAAATAAGATATAGACTAACAATAAGGCTGCAAGTTAGTAGCTAATTAGATGTTATATATTGCCGTAAGAAACAATTTTAGAGTTGTCATGACATTGCCACAGCTAAACAATATGACACATGATGTGTGAAAAGCACACTACCGGCATACAAAACATGCCATTTCTAGAAGGGTCTGGAGTCAGAAAATTTTCAAAATTTAATGCTACGAGATTTACTCTTTCGCCATTTTAACTACAAATACTGCATACACACAACTTAATGTACTGAAATAAAAGACGCAAGTTTCAATACATAAGTTGTAGCTGTGCTTGCCATGAAAAAGTGGTCAGGCCATGGCCTAACTGTTGTTACCTCTTCCTACGGCCTTGTTATACTTGGTGAACGTATAGGCTACTAACCATGGCAGCGATAATTAAAGTAGTTAAGTCATGATAACGTTCAAATGGATAAACTAGTCATAATTTAAAATTAATGTATAATCGTTAATAGCCAGTGATGTTTTAACAATAACTGTTACGATGTAAACGTCTTTTCCAAGTTGACGAAGCATAATTATAGTTAATTATACTTGTCATAAGATATTGGTATTAAGCCTATCATGTTTTTAACACTGCATTCTTCATTTAATCCCTTAAGTATTTTCAAGAATTAGACACTCTAATTCTTGAAAATCCCTAATGGACTAGATAAAGAATGCAGCGTTAAAAACATGATAGGCCTAATACGCCTAATGAGAGTGATGTTTTACTTGTGCTTCTTTTGATCTTCCTTTTATTGCTTTATGACTTTTTTTTTCAAATACAAGATGTTTTTTACTTTCCAGTTTAAAAACCACAAGCAAGTCTATTGCAATGGAACATTTTATAAAGTGAAACAATGATTTCTAGATTCATATAGATCTTTGTAACACTTACCTTGAAGACATTTTTGAAAGACAGTTGCTAAGATAAGCGTCAGGGTAATTGATGAACCCATTCTGCCTTCTTTTTCTGATAAATGAAACAAGTGGTGGCTAAAAGAAACTGAAACTGCGTTATTTTAATATAGTTATTAAGATAATGTTAAAGGAAATTGAGTATGTAAGAAAGGTCAGTATACTGTTACATCAATAATGATTTGTCCTATAAATCAGATATAAATTTTCATTTATAAAATACTCACTTAAATATAGCTTCGTATACGAACATGTGGGTAGGTGTATTAATACAGATCTAGGGTATTACTTAACAAATGACATGTCAAACGT